AAAAAAAAAAAAAAAAAAAAAAAGTTCAAAAAAAGAATTGGGAGGATACATAAACATAAGCATGGTCCTTGCGCAAGGAGGACTCCTACAAATCGAGAAGCCATCCAAAAAAAAGAAAAAAGAGTCACATTGTCAATATATATTTCCACCTCTTTTCTTTTCATCGCTTCCAAGCACAGACGGAACAGAACAGCTTTTCTTCAACCCCGCCATAAGCCACCCATCCCCTTCCCTTCTCTTCGCAATTTATGGGTTCCCTTCTCTGCCCGTCTCCTCACGGATTATCCATAATTGGCCCATCATCCCGGGACCCGTAAGTCCCTCTACCCCCCTATGCTCCCCCCCTTCCCCACCACCCCTCCTCTCCCTCCCCTGTCCTTGTCATGGCGGCCTATCTCATAATACGAAAGCCATCGCAGACTGTTATGTTACTACCCTCCTACCCCGCTACGATTCCCTCCTCGCCCCCCCCTCCTTCCCCCCCCTCCCTCTCTTCCCCCGTCCTTTTACTCCACCTTCGCCTCCTGTCTTATATCTTCATACTACCCCCCACCTCGGCTACCGTCTTCACCCGAATAGAACGCCCGGTCATTATCGCTGCATCTGGACTGACAGCCCCAAATACAGCTATAACGACTGGGCGTTCTATTCGAGTGAAGACGGTAGTCAGCAACGCCATCTTTTTCAGACGTTTTTTGTTAAAAAGAAAAAAGGAAAAAGGGACATGACCCACCTCTCATCAACATACCTCACAGGATTTGAACCGCTGATTGGTTAATCAGGCATTATTACGTGCGTGCACCTTTCATCCACCTCGCCTATGCAGGTTTGAAAGGCTTTTTTTTTTTCTTTTTTTCTTTTTTTTAACATCACTTTTAGATTTTTTCTTGTTGGTATTCTAAAAGGGAAGCAGAAAAAGCAGACCCTCTCAACAACACTCCATATTTTAATCTGCCGTACTACATACGTGTGTCATTCAGTCATCTGGTATTTGACATTTCGAAATTTTGGAACTTTTCGAACTTTTCGAAATTCGAAAATTCGAAATTTGAAAAATTGTGAACTTTTGAAATTTGAAAATTTTGAAATTACCAACGGTGGCCTAGCTCAGTTGGTACACCCATGAACCGTTGAAATACAGACCCAAGTTCGAATCCAGATGCAATCAGATGGACACAGTAAAATAATTTTCGGAATTACCCGGGCTGGTCAGCTCAATGATGATATCTGAAATCTGTCGCCCCTTTTTTTTTTCGGAAATAAAAAGTTTGAAATTTTCAAAAATTTTGCACGTCGAAAATTTGAAATTTATCCGTCGTCATTACAGCCCCGATGGATTAAACCCCCATGTACGTAAATTCCGAATAAATTCCAGGCATAGAATTTTTACATTTTACTCCGCTAATATGAATGATAATTTAATCGCCCACTCAGAATCGACTCTGCTGTGTTGGCCTACTATCTGACCATACGGAGAATGCAAAAAAAAAAAAAAAAAAAAAAAAATCCGCTTCTCCAATCAACCAAACAACAAAAATCATGCGAGTGACACAATGGCAACAAGGGCGGAATTTTTATTGTTCGTTTGGTTGACGGCGCACAATTTCTTTTGCTTATTTATTTTTCGGGTTAATTTGGGTTAATTGGATAAGAAATGGAGGATGGGGAGCCGAGGCAGGAATGTACTTGAAGACCAGTGCATAAACAGGAGGGAAAGAAAAAAAAAAAAAAAAAAAAAAAAAAAAAAAAGGGGTTCCCACTCTCCTCCCTCCCTGCCCTTCCCTACCCTTCCCTACCCTTCCCTCTCTCTTGCTACTCTCTCCTACCTACACCTCGCTACTCTCTCCTACCCCTCTTCCCTCCCCTAAGAAAAGGGGTAAAGGGGGAAGTGATCAATGTGGCTCAATATTTGACAATCGTGACAGAAGAATGGAAACCCAGAAACTGCACGAAGTTTCTAGATGCTCAAGGACAGAAGAGATACTTAGTAAAATGAAAAAGAGGGGGCAATTTCTAATTGCTGATTATTATTCGAATTTCCACGACATACAGTATTGGTGGGTGTTTCCATTATAAAAAATAAAAAAAATAAAAAAAATAAAAAAAATAAAAAAAATAAAAAATCCTAGGAATTTCTAATTCGAAGAGAAAGCCGACGTGAACCCAGCGTACAGACCAGAGTTTGAAAAAGGGATTGAACCATGCTGATCAATGATCAATGTGTTATGACCAAACAAGGTTCGAAATAAAAGTTTTATGTTCCACGACATACAGTATGTAACAAAGGTTCGATTCATCCAATATCGAGGGTGTCAATGGTTTGACGGCGGATCACCTTATTCCCGAAACAAAGGGGGGGGGGGGGGGGGGAGAGAGAGAAGGGAGGAAGTTTATATTTGCCTTTTTATTTCGCGGGGAGGAGGCAGAGGGGGAGGAAAAAGGAAGAAAGAATTTAAATAGATCATTTTTAGAATGTGCAAAAGTATACGAAAAGAAACGAAAAGAGAAAGGAGACGGAGGGGGGGGGGAGGAGGGGGAAGGAAAGGAAAATCACAAGCAATGGCCAAGTTGCTGAATTCCAAACGCGTACAGCACACAAGTTGTGTGATTTCATTCAGCACGCGTACAAAGGTAAAAAAGAGCCAGAAAAAGCTCCCCCCTCAAAAAAAAAGAAAAAGAGCTCCCGAAAAAAAAAAGAAAGAAAAAGAGTATGATGATGGGATGGAGAAACTGTTACCTTTACCTGATACCTCAATGGTACAGCCTAATGGAGCATAGACAAGGGATAAGTCAACGATTCACAATCTATGAGTTAATCTATGAGTTAATCTATGAGTTAACCTAGGAGTTAACCTATGATTCAATCTAGGAGTTAATCTATGACTCAATCTAGGAGTTAATCGAAGAGTTAATCTACGAGATAAGAACTTATAGATAGTTTTTTTGTGCATAATGATTTTTTTTCGTCAAAAGGAACGCAGGGGGGCGAAAAAGAGTAGAAAAAGAGGTTTTGGCGCGCATGAGGAGGGGGGGGGGGGAGGGAGGAGAAAAAAAGACGTTATGGCGCGCAAAAGGGGCTGAATGGCACGCAGTCGTAAATGTTGACAGCTGGCTGCTACAGGGTACCCGGTATTACTATAATGACAAAAAAAAAACAAAAAAAGGCCTGAAATGGCCTGGACAGGGAATTGAATTGGTTGGTCTTGAAAGAATTAGCCTTTAAAATTCAAAAAAAAAAAAAAAAGAATATAGACACATCAAGAGGTCAAATTCCTCTGGATAGAACGACGATTTTAGCGACTATCCGTATTTAAAAAAAAAAAAACATTCAAGGAAAGAAAAAACGAGATAAAAAAAGGCATAGGATGCGGACGCGATTACTTCCTCAACTTGCCTGCGCAGCAGCTCCGGATCTGAGAGTCGTTTCTCTAATGCCTTCAAGAATTGTTGGCGCAGGCGATCGGGACCTGAACTCACTAGTCTTGCCTCCAAGAAGTTACGAAGTTTCCTCGAATTCTCAACGACATATCCACCTCCTTCTGAAAGCGACGGCGTGCAACCTCCCTCTCTGATAAGCTTCGAGAAGACGCACGATTCGTCATCGTCGGTGTCTGCTTCCCTCTGCTCCCCGAGGCGCCTGCGGACGGGCGACCGCCGACCGGACGCTGTTCCATCCTCGTGGTCGCTCAGGGCTACGCACTCGTCTTCGCTAAATCCTCTCTTCCCCAAAAACGAACGCGAAGTCGACGAAGGAAGGTCCATGAGCACCGCTGCTACAGTAATACACTGCACCTTCGTCCCGACGCACACGTCGGCCACAATACCTGGAACACGTCAGCGAGCCACACAACGTGGCACACGTCAGCGACACCACGTTGCACACGTCAGCCACACCACGTGGCGCACGCCGGCAACACCACGTGCTACACCGTAGCGCCGCCACGTAGTAAGCATCGAACACGTGGCAAGTCGAGATCGCTTCACCACTGTTACACCTCACCGTCTCAGAGCCATCCTATCCGACTGGACCCGATCGGATTGAATCGCGAATGAGACCGGGTGGGACTGGGCCAAATCGAATCGGGTCCAGTCCGGTCGGATCAGATTGGATCCGATCGAGTGGGATCGGGCCAGAGTGGGTAGGATCCGATCGGGTCGGGTCGGGTCTGGTCGGGTCGGGTCTCGAGTCGGGTCGGGTCGGATCGGGTCGGATCGGGTCGGATCGGGTCCGGTCGGGTGGGGTCGGTTTGGGGCCTTTGGACACGATCGAGTAGGGTCAGATTGGATCCGATCGAGTGCTATCAGTTGGGCCCGATTGGGTCCTTATGGGCGCGATCAAGCAGGGTCGGATTGGGTCCGATCGAGTGGGGCGCGATCGAGTAGGGTCGGGCAGATTGGGTAAGGTCGGGTAAGGTTGGGTCGAACCACGTCCGATCGGGTCGGGGTGGGGCCCGATCGAGTAGGTTCGAACTGGATCGAGTAGGTTCGGGGTTGGGCCCACGGGTCAGCCATATCAGGTCATACGATGGGATCACCTTCATCGAAGAAAGTAATCACTCTGTATGTCTATCCATTGATAACCGGCTAAATAGAAAGGCAGGAGAAGCAGAGGTACATGGGAACAGGAGGAACGCAGTGAGTACGCGAACCTGGATCTAACTCATCAAGCCAATCATCGGATGGCTTACGGAAAATATCGAAGACGACCATGTGATGGATGCTCAGCCTCTATCGCATCGTCATCTTCCTTTCGTTCTTCTCTCTCTCTCTCTCTCTCTCTCTCTCTCTCTCTCTCTCTCTCTCTCTCTCTC